GCTGGGCTCCGGCGATCCTTCCGCCTCAGCCTTCCGAGTAGCTGGAACTCCAGGCGCGCGGCTGGTTTTCTGATTACGTGTCTGAGGCCTGGGCTTCGTGCCATGGAAGTCCAATGTGCTGCAGTCCAAGCCAAGTTGCCCAGGCGGGTCTCAAACCCGCGGGATCAAGCAATCCACTCACCTCAGCCTCCCAAAGGCGCAGGATTACAGACTGAGCCACCGAGCCTGGCTGAACAGCCACAGTTTTAAAGTCATAACTTGATGTGACCGACGAGTGTGGAAAGCCCAGCATCCGCCACATCGCGCTGAGCCTTCCGCCACCCTAGAAGATCCTCTCACGCCCCTAAGTCACTGCCCCCAGCTCCAGCGCTGCTCGCTGGCTCTCTGTCCCTGCACCCACCCCAGGGTGCCCCGGGGACTCCTGCAGCCTATGCTCCTCTGGGCCTGACCTGGCACCCTGCTGCATAGGCTCACTGGCACCGGGCCTCGTGTGTGTCGGTGCCTCATGGTTTTGCGCCTTTCTGCAGCTGGGGGCATTTCTTTACACGAGGGCACATGCTGATGGGAATGTGGGCTGGTTCAGGTTTGTATGGACATGTTTTCACTCTCTTGGGTGGATGCATACTCGGGAGTAGGACAGCTGGCCTAATTTATGGTAAACACATGTTGGAGCAGGGCTAGAAGCTATAAAATTGTTCCTATGTAGCTGGACCATCTTGGTTTTCCTTGAGCAACACCTGACAGTCTGACAGTTCCACTTGCTTCGCATGACTGACAGCATTTGGGACTGGCAGTATTTTGTTTAAATGCTAGCTAGCCTAGTATGTGCTTAAAGGTATGTATCACTGTAGTTCTAATCTGTATTTTCCTAATAAACGATGCACTTCTGTAAAAAAAATGCAATACTCCCCATGTACACAGTGATTTACGAGGGGGGACCCATAAAAATAGGAACTGTACTCGGAGGGTTGGCCCCTTTGCAGTACAGGCTCCCCCTGCCAGGTGAGTGTTTTAGGGACCCACCGGCCTCCGTATGCCCGTGAGTGTTGTTGTGGGAGGCTTCAGTGAATTTTCTTTGGAGAATCTTTCAATGTGTTTGCCTATTTCATGATGGGTGACTTATAAGTGACCTGCTCACACCGTGCTGAGTGTTCAGCAGCTTTTGGCCAAAAACAACATGACCCCGTGCCCTACCCTCCCTATTCACCCAATCTCTCCCCAAGTGACTTTTTTTGTTTCTCCAGATGAAAAAAGTCCTCAAAGGGAAACATTTTGCTGACATGGAAGAGGTGAAACAAAAAACAGCAGAAGCACTGAAAGGCATCAAAACTGACAGTTTCAAAAATTATCTTGAGCAGTAGAAAAAGCATCTCAGTAAGTGTACTGCCTCTAGTGGACAGTACTTTGAAGGTGACTGAAGTTTAAACGTGTAAGAATAAAGACAATTTTCTATAAATAATTTCTGGTTTTCTTGGGTCTCCCTCACATGCGCTTATCTGCCATTAGGATATCTTCTTAGATGACCTATCTGTCAAAATATCTTGCCCATTTTTAACTGGCTGTGAGCTCCCATTATCTGCTAGCATTTGGTGCAGCCCAGGTGCATTCCATCAGACACCAGCCGTGTGAGTGTTTTTTCGGAGTCAGCCTCCCCCTGATGGAGATACATCCCCACGAGGCCTCAGCCCTTCCCAGGCTCATAACCAGCCTCCAAAACGCCCTCACATTCAACCTGTCTTCTTTCCACCCAAGCTCCCCACTGAGTTCTTCGTGTCAGGCTTAGGTTTCTAATTGCCTTTTGATGTTTTTGCATGACCTAATTTCTCTATTTCCCCTCAAAACTACCCTGAATGATATCACTACTATACCACCCACTGACCCGCTAATCCCCTGACTTCGTAGATGAAGCCCCTGCACTCCCATCTCTAGGCAGACCCTGCCCATCTGCCCCCAACAGCCCGCGGTCTCTCCCCCACACGGCCCTCCTTCCACCCTCGGGAGCACACCACTGAGGCTGTCCCCCAGAGCCCTGGTGCTATGTCCCGGCTGGCACACCCCCTCTGTGCCCTTTCAGAGATGGGGCTCTTCTAAACACACAGCTCATGCCGTCCATATGGCTCCTGGGTCATTGGCTACGTACTGCAACATGATTAGTGTCATTGGCATGTTATGGCACGTGGTAAATCGCTAGAACCTTGAGGTGGAAGTCCCTGCACCAGACGTGGAACTCTGCAAGTGCTCAGGAAACACCTGCCGGTTGAAACAGCACCTGCCTCCAACCCAACTAGGAGTGCACTAAAACGTCCACAGGGTCCAGAAGAACATCAGCGAACCACAGAGAAGAAACCAAATGCTGACCTTTCTCGTAGACCCGCCGCTTGTCTTCCAGGGAGAGCGAGTCGACCTTCTGCTTCAGAGTCTCCGCCTCCATCTGCGCTTGTTTCTCGTGGTACTTGTCATCTGGCTTCATGGACAACGTCAGCTTATGCTGGTTATTCTGCAACAGCCACAGAGGCAAAAGGCCAAGTTTCAAAGGACTACTAGGACTTATGCAGGGAGTCCAGTCCTGCTGTGTGCCGGGCCTGCAGTTCCATTTATCCACTTTTAAAAGAATGACGGTAACAGGACTCATCTCAAGGGATGCTTTGCAGATTAAAGAAGAGAAGCCACAGAAAACCCTAACCCACTGCTGGGTTGCAAGGACAGAATTCACCCACATTGCTAAGACTGCTGCCAGGATGATCACTACCATTACGGTCTCCATGTCCTAACCACACACCTTGGCTGGGAAAAGATTTACTCTTTTAAATAGTGTAAGTCTTTGATTTTAATATAAACTGGAGATGACACAGACTTCTAACTTAATTTTTGTCTTGTGTTGACCATACTATTAACTACTGAAAGGCTGGGACTAAATTTCCCATTCAAGACTTTGTGAAATTACTAGCATAAAATACATGTTGATTTGACACAAAATCGATGTTAGGTGATTTAATGTGCCTCTCTTATCTATCTCAACAATGAAAAAGCTACCCATGCACAACACGCTCACTTGTAACACTACCAAGAGAACTGGAGCACCACTAAACTTTATGTAGAGTAACTTACAGCAGCTCAGTGAAACTGCAGGTCAAATAAACAATGGCACATGCCGGAGAGTAACCCCAAAACAGGCCACAGTCTACCCCGTAACAAAGAAGTTCTACCACAGTAACGAGTACAGAGCCAGAACACTCAACCAAGCACAAACACCTGGAAACCCAAAGCAAACGAGCACACATCAAAAGAACCCAATCTTAAAAAGCCAGAATAGTCTTTAAGGGGACTGTCCTCATAGTCTTTTATTAACAAAATAGAAAAGCATACACAAATGTTTTGTTCATTCGTCCACATATACGTATATTTACATTTTAAAAATGTACATATATATTCATATAAAACACCAACAGACATATTCATAAAAGTTGTATCACCCATCCATTAACAGAAATTGACTGACATATATAATGTTCCTAATGTTCTTTTCACTAACTATTATGAAACTCAACTTCAAAACTATAGAAATAAATTCTACAACTTTCTTTTTAGGGGCGGTATACTCAAGAATAAGGGCTCTATTGGTTGCAATCTATATTTTCTTAAAAAACAATTCTTTCAGATGTGACACTTAAACAGTTCAGAGTTTCACGTATGGCCTAATACAAGTACCTAAATAATGCACGCAAGATTCAGTTCCTCTCTTTTTCTCTCTTGCTCTGTTTCTCTTGTCTTTATCTCTGTGTTGGCTTCATTTTCAGAAAGACTCTCCATAGGTTGGAAAATGGTCAGTAAGTTTTGGTCTCACGAGACTCTCAATGCTTAAGATAACAGGGAAAGATAATAAATCCTGAGAAAATACCAGAGAGAACTCTGGCCATATCCGATAGTTTACCTCATCCCAACCAAATGGAGTGAATACGGGTAGTTTCCCACAAGGGATGTTGAGCAAATCTCTCTCTCTCTCTCTCTCTCTCTCTCTCTCTCTCTCACACACACACACACACACACACACCCCCAAGCATGTGAACATGTAGTGCACCAGGTCTCCTACAAAGTATATCTTAGTTTAGTTTGTGAGACATAATCATATGAAATGCACATCTGGAACAATTTTGTAGGCACAGGCTCACTGTTTAAGGGAAGATATGTTTACGAGCCTTGCAGGCAGCTTCTAGCCTCCCCAGTAGGTCAGAACATAAAGACCATCAACTGCTCTCTCTTGACAGGAACACAAATTCAGAATCAACAGATGTGTTGATTGCTACCCAGAGCTGCAACTTTACAGGGCTTGGGCCTCCTCCATAGCTTTTTCCCCATGGCCCTATGCTAATTTTATATGGGTGGTCTCACAGGTGCCTGAGGCCTATATTCCTGCCAGGTAAACTCCCTGCCCCCACACAGGAACTAAGCAAACTGAACAAGCCTCCATAGACACACAGGCTGCACACCACAGCCTACGCCTCTGGCTTGAGTTTTTCTGTAATCTGAAACGTGTTCTGCGCTCTCATCTCTACTCCTCCTGCACCCACCGCCTCCTATCCCATTGTTCATGCCCTCCCACTACAGGGGTCCTGCCTCTCCACAAGCTGCTCCATGCCACTGCAGACAGCCTGAGGTTTTATGCTTTTACGACTTTACTTGTTTCTTGGTGTTATTCATAGGAAAAAATATGGTAACAGATAAGGAACTGGTATATTTAGAGTTTTACTAATCGAGCTAGTTGTAACCAAAGTGAATTGACACTTACATGTAGTTTAGAATATTATCTTTAGTAGTGATTGTAATTCATTCCAGGATCTGGTTTACACGCTTAGTGTTTGCTAATAACAAAATGAGATAGTACATCAAAGGGAATTATACCAAATTCTACAACTTTCTTACCTTAAAATACTGCTTTACTTTTTCTTGCAAAAACTTGGGGTTTTCCTTCAGACACTGTCTGAATTGAGTCAACTGGTTTCCCAGCTTCAAGAGCTCCACAGGGTCGCCGTCGTGATTCCAGCAGGAAGCTATGTACTGAAATGAGGAGTTTCACATCCACAATGCACACGGCACCACAAACACCGTGACCCCAGGCAACAGCAAGGTCTTGAGGGCTTACAAGATCCTAGTTTCGAAATTTAAAAATAACCACAAAGGATTGTTTATCGTGATGATTAAGCAATTCTTGGGTTGGAGGAAAAAAAAAAACACAACCTAATTTGCATCCTAATTTGTTCTAATAAGAAAGGACAGATTTAAATTATTTTAAGAAAATATACGGCCGGGCTCGGTGGCTTAGCCTGTAATCCTAGCGCTTTGGGAGGCCGAGGTGAGTGGATTGGCTGAGCCCACAGGGTTCGAGACCTGCCTGGGCAACTTGGTGAGCCATCTCTACAATAAATCAAAAAATTAGCCGGGCGTGGTAGTGTGCGCCTGTAGTTCCAGCTACTCGGAAGGTTGAGCCAGAAGGATCGCCGGAGTCCAGCAGGTCAAGGCTGTGGTGGCTGGGAGCGTGCCACTGCACTACCACTGACTCCAACTCAAAAAAAAAAAAAAAGAAAGAAAGAAAATATACTACTAACAGATTACCAGGTATCAAAAATCCCTACTCATTTAAAGTATTCTGTGCAAATCTATTTTACATAAAAGGATAAGATGACAAAAAGCCAATTAAGTAAGCTAGTATAAAAGAGAAAAAGTACTTAATAAAAGAAGACAAAATTTATATCTCTTCCCGAACAGTACAGCTTTCGAGGTTCAAATCAAAAGCACTATCAATATCAATCTGTATTCTCAGTCCTGTCATGAACCACTGACTGCAAAAGCCAAGAAAACAAATAAAAAAGAAAAACCAAAGGGGCTGAGAAATCACATACTGATGTCAGGGTCAGGCCAAAGCTGGGAGATTGATGCTTCATCTGTACTTCAAGTTTATGAAGTAAAGCTTCAATCCGGTCATCTTCAAACCCTTTCCTAAAGAACACAATTAAGACATAAGATGCCGAGAACAAACAGGTTTTAGAAACACAAGGGAGCAGAGACAATACTTAAGCAGCTGAGCTCACACCACCACATGTCTTATTAGAGAGGGAAGGGCCCGCAGAGAGGCTGTCCCTCCCCAGAAAGCACGCCGATGAGGACAGCAAACTGTCGCCATGTGCCAACTTACTCAATGACCTCGTCAATCGTTCTGTCCACAAGGCTCCTGACGGTCTGAACGTCTTTCTCTGATAATCCCTGGAGACCGACGCTGAAGTAGGCCTCCCTCGTGTAGCCATTGTATCTGGAACAAAACAGAGACATCGCATCAGACTCCACACACAGCCACCTTCGCGTATCACGTGCTTTATCTAAGGAGAAGGAAGACGTTGAACTCCAGGCCCTCCACCAGAAAGCCCACGAAAGCATCCTCTCAGCTATGACTGGTCACATGGACATTCGTGTTCTTTAAATATTCTGAAAAATCAATACAATTTAAACTTTTGAGTTAAAGCAACATAAATCTCACAGAGAACTGCTGAGTTTTATAAAATCTTATGATTCCTAAGACTGTTTACTGACAGGTGGTGAGTGGCATGACTGAGACCTCGGGAAACGTCTGTACGTTTGGGTGCGTTTTCTGCCCAATGCCCCCTTCGGGAGACATCAGCAGGCTTCGCTGGATCCAGGAACTCGCCGGAGCTCCTTGTCACGTGGGCTGTCCTGCGCCCGTGGGACATTCGGCAGCATTCCCGGTGCCGCCCTCCAATTAATGTCCCGGACGTCATCGAGTGTCCTCGGCAGGGAGCAAAACTGCCCAGTGCCCCCAGCTGAGCACCAGTGAGCTAATCGAATGATCCAACTTACCCGACATCAGGAGAAAAGTCTGTGCCAAGTCCAGACTCAATCAAGGCTTTGTAAAACGGAGAATTGGGCCCAGTGATCAGGAGTGAAGACAGAAGACTTAAGGTGAAGGCTTCAAATGTGTCCGTGATACTTCGTCGAAAAAAGGATGGGGACAGAAAAAGAACAAGAGGGAACACTGTTGGCCCTGACATGCTTTTCAAACCAGTTAGGATCATCCTAACACTTTCCTCTCCAAACAGCTGAAGCCCCACTAGAAGCTCTTGCATTTCAACGTGTATTTTAATAATGACATGACCAAAATACAATTTTTCTTATATACTGTTGTTTTTGTTTTTCTGGTTTTTCCCTAACATAAGATTAATTTTACTGCATCTGGAAGTGTACTGCTAAACAGCCACGGTTTTCCCATGTTATGTCGATGAGAGCTGCAACACTCGAAAGTACAAGAGAAGTGAGTCAGTCAGTAGAGACACTGCGGAGTCCTCGCCACCGCCACCTGAGCCCCTCCAGGGTGGAGCTCTGGCTGTCTCATGAAATCTCTGGATTCACAAATTTTTTGCACGGGGCATCAGTTCTGAGGCGAGTGTTCACAGCATCATTCTCCCACACAAAATGTTGGGACCTCAAAATGCTGCGACCTCAAAATGTTGACAACTGCTATGCAAGGTCATCACTTCTCTGTAGGAAGGAAGTTTTACATACAATGAAGTAAAGACTCTTCCTCTGGATAGGTAGATCAAAACCCCAACCCATTTCAGAGGTTAGTAAAACTTCTTTGGGTTGGGTGCAAGGACTCACACAGGTAAAAGCAGCACTTTAGGAGGTGGAGGCAGGAAGATTGATCGAGTCCAGGAGTTCGAGACCAGCCTGGGCAAGATAGTGAGACCTCATATCCAAAAAAAAAAAAAAAAATCAAAAACCAAACCAGGCAAAATGACTCACACCTGTAGTCCCAGCTACTCAGGAGGCCAAGGTGGGAAGGTCGGGGAAGGGGAAGGTGGGTGGAGGCTGCAGTGAGCCATGAGCATGCCACTGCACTCTAGCCGGGTGACAGAGTGAGATCCTGACTCAAAGAAACAAAAACAAAACAGCAACTTTCTTGACATTCTGTTGTCTCATCTTAAAACCTGCAAGACCCCCACCTGCACACTGACTGACCTTGATCGTAGAGTTCGCCTCCGAGCCTCCTTACCCGGGTGTCTGCCTACTGCACCCCGGCTGTGTGAGCTTTAACACTGGGTACTTACTCTGGCAAGAGGAAGGCGACGCTAACCATCGTCTGTCTGGAGGGATCTGCAGCGAATGCATCCGGGCCGCAAGTTATCTGGAACTCCCTCTGTAAAGCGAGGAGACGCTGTGAGTCAGCACACAGACTGTTGGCTTTAAACCACGGCGCGTTATCTGAATGTCCAAAACGCGACCAACATGCTAACTTCCACTGTAAACAAATAACTGCTCATCAGGCTTCAAAGTGCTCACATCCCCGGCACGACCCACAGTCACATTCCAAAATCCCACTGTCGGTGCGCAGTGCAAGCCTCATCAGCGCGTTTAACGAGAAGGACACACACAGTGGGCGCTCACCGGCCGGTCCCAGGGCTTCTGAGTGGGCACGGCAGTATGCGTGTCAATCTTCTGAAACTTACTCAGCGCTTCATCATGAACCTGTCTCAGATGCTGTTCTAACGGGAGACTTCCGTACGTGAAGAACCTACGATTTCGAGTGAACACGTTAATCGACTTCAGTTTAAAAGATGAGAAATCGACAGCACCCAGCACCCACTCATCCGAGGGTCGCTCTCTGGAGCTTCAGTTACCCTTGATCAACCCAGGCTGAAATCATTACAGTACTTGGAGAGAAAGACCATATCTACTTGACTTGTTCCAGAGCACTGTTACAGCGCCTCTCTTGCAGTATTGCTGTTGTTCATTTCTTACTGTGCCTAACCTGTTAACTCTATCGTGGGTGTGTCTGTCTAGGGAGCCCACAGTATGTGCACAGGGTTTGGCGGCTTGGTTTCGGGCAGCCCCTGGGGGTCGTGCAAGGGACCCCTCAGGTAAGGGGGCTACCGTACAGCAGCTGCCGTGCCAGCTGCCACAGTGAAGAGACCTTTACATCGGGATATGTGTTTTTTTTCACTTAGCTTAACTGCAAACACCCAACAGAGGCTTCTGCCCTTTTAATAGGTGATTCTAACAAAGTACAAACCATGCAGAAGGAATTAATTAAATGCAAATCCAGCAAAAATTGATTTTCATTTAAATCTGCTCTAAAGGCATTCCAACAACAAAGTGAGCCGTTCGTAAAACACTCCGTAACGCTGGCTACAGTGATACCATAATCCAACAGACAAATGAAATAAGGTATTTCACCAAACTCAATTCTAGGCTACAACTTTCAGGTCATGTATGTTTTACTCAACCAGAGAAAAAAGGTCACGATGACAGAGCTGATTTTCTTCTCTATCATGCTGTTGTCTGAGCTTTGGTGGAAATTTGGTGCCTAATATCTTAAAGAACCTTTAACCATTTTACACTCCAGGATCTAGAACCAAATCTCACACTCTAAGGGTTAGATCAGCAGGGCCAGCAGCACCCAGTGCCTGATGCTGGTCTCTAGACCCTTTCTCCAGGGGTCCAGAGGTCACGGGGAGGGGGACGCCCGCCAAACTTCGGGGGCTGGAAGGGCCACGTGAGTGTGCGGGGCTTCGGGGAGAAACCCAAGAATCCGCTGAAGACCAGAGCCATCAGAAAGGAACCCCACAGACATGTCAGGAGGATGTGAGTGGAAGTGGTAAACAGATGGCATTTGGTCACATGGCCTCAGACCCACACGGGAATCCTGTGTGAGGTCACAACAACCACGGAGGCTAAGAAAGGAAGGCACCTCCCAGCCGCCACTGGAGGGCTCCTGCACCATCTCCCCAAGACTGGTGTCGCTCCCCAACGCTGGCGTCCCAAAGAGCAGCCTCCCTCCTGCCCCAGCAGAACCGTATTTTAGCGTCACTCAACAGCCCCAATACAGGCAGAAGAAATTACAGAACTGGAAAACTTCACAAACTGGTAAAGTCACTGCCCCAGGCACTAGTCATCAATTAGCAGGCTGGAACTCAATCAATAGTCCCAGGACATCAGAATCTCGGCCCACCAATGTCCTGTGGCTGTAGGGAGAACCAGAACCTCCCAGAGGGGTCACCACCCAGACCCGCCGATGCCGGCATCCCTTGGGTTGAGGGGCCTCAGGTAGCGTGGCCGGCTACACAGAGCCCCCCTGCCAAGAACTCTGTGTGAGAAGGCTCGCCGGACTCTAGCCAGGTCTTTGGGTCTAAGTTCTGGTGCTTGGGAACATAGGAACACATTAACCAACACCACAAGCAGTGGCCAGGTCACCTGAAGTAAGAGAAGTACAGAGAAGCCCGGCCTGACCCTGCCCCACCCCAGGAGCGGGTGCCCAGGAGACAAGATGGACACTGACAAATGGGTGTGTGGCCTCAGCCAGGTCAAACATTATAGGACAACTGGAAAATATGGGCGTGAAATAAGAAACAGCTGGTTTAAGAAAGTGTGTGCAATCTGTTGGATGCGAAATGGTTCAGAGCCACACGGTTCAGAGCCACACATTCACGTGTTTGGGGTAAAGGATCACAACGAATGTCATTTGTATGTGTCAGTTCTGCGAGGCAGGAGTCTTCCATGTCCCGCTCACACTAGCAGATCGGGGACCTGCAGATGAATGGAGGGGCCCGGACCCATCTTGGGGGCCCCATGGGCTGTGTGCAACTCCCACGCAGAGCCTGGTGTGATCAGCGCAGAGGTAAAAATGAACGTCCATGTGAGTGAGACAGGCAGCTCGGGCCAGGAGTCCCATGGAGGCTGCCTCACACAGTAAGGACGCACACAAGGCAACTCCCGACAGCCCTGTCAGCGTCAGCCTCAGAACAGCCTACCTGGCATTGCTCGGGTGGTAGTGTGTAGCGTGGAACTGCTTGAGCTGCTCCCATGTGAGTTCTGGGATGCACAGGGGGTCACCCCCGGAGACCACCGAGTACGTGTGGTCAGGAAGAAGCCTGTTCTGGAGGTGCTGGGAGAAGATCCTCTCGTTGTCGGTCTTGAAATTTCCAAAAGTAAATAAACAAATGAGAAAAAAGATACACACGGGAAGTGATGCACACACAAACACAAGGCACAGCAAATCAGTCACACTTGGGAGTACACGTGTGTCACACTGGCAAATAAAACTGCTCTCATGGCACTTAGGGGCATCCCTGCGGCACTATCGAGCGTGCCGCTCCATAACTCATGACCTGTGCACAGTACCCAGGGCTGGTTCCCTTGGAAGGGAAGAATCATGTACTCTGCAGCGCGTGTTGGGCGAACAACTGCCCAGCTGACAGCCAGAAGGGTGCAGTGAGATGGGTAACTAGGGTTCCTCTGTCCACCAGCCATACAGGAGACAGCGAGGCGCTGTCACCGAGCCTGATTTTCAAAATGATGACTTGGAAGAAGTGACACCCAAGCTGGGTATAAAAGGGCAAGCAGTGCGCCAGCCACCGGGGCCACAGGAAGCAGGGGCAGCACGGGCCCCAGGCCCCCACGCCTGAGAGGCTGGACAGGCCAGGGCAGGCACAAGGGGATATGAGGACGTGGGCCAGGACAGCACTTCTCGAAACCCAAAGGTCTTGAGACCTCTGGCACCCCCCAAGTGAGTGACGTCCCCAAAGTTCCTGGTCATGTGGGGCTTCTTGATTATGCATGTGTCTATGCATGTGTGTGTATATTTGTAAATTCTTCTGTATTCCAAATTAAAACTGAGACATTTAAGAACATTGTTCGGCCTGGCACGGTGGCTCATGCCTGTGATCCCAGTACTTTGTGAGGCAGAGACAAGAGGACTGCCTGAACTTAGGGGTTTGAGACCAGCCTGAGCAACACGGCGAGACCTCGTCAATACAGTCAATAAAAAAATTAGCCAGGCATAGTGGCGCATGCCTATGTTTCCAGCTACTTGGAAGGCTGAGGCAGAAGGATCATCTGCCCAGCAGGTCAAGGCTGCGGTGACCGTGAGCGTGCCACTGCACTCTAGTCTGGGTGACAGAGAGAGACTCTGACTTGAAGAATACTGTTCATTCATTGACTTAACCCATCATTTCACGTTAGCACACGTGTTTTTAGAAAATACTTTTCATCACAAAACGTTAAAGAGGCTGAGCAGAGTGTCCCTGTCAGCCTCCTTTGAAAATCCCTTTGGCACGAGCTCAGAAGCTGGACTCCCTGTCAGCTTCCCTCCCCAGCATGTTGTGTATCAGGTGTGCCACGCGGCCTCTGGAAGGGCCACTGGGCATTCAGGAAGAATGAGCATCACTTCATGGACCTGCTGGGATCACACAGCGGGCCCGCCCCGGTCGCCTGCCATGGGAGCGGGCACCAAGAGGAGTCCAGCCCGGCCCCACTGGCCCCACTCCGGCCCTGGCTCATTCCAGAAGTTAGGACCTATGCGAACACTCCATGAGGTCACAACGTCAACTAGCTTCCAAACCACCTATGTGTCACTATTTTACACACTGGGTTTAACACAGCGTAAATGAGGAAGAAAACTTACAAACACTCCCTTCATCTCATTGAAGACGACCCCTTTAAAGATCAAGGGCGTGTGGGGGTCACTCGGGTCCTCATGCTCAAGTCGCCAGCCTTCCTGCCTGCGTGAGGATGAATAATCAATCAGAGGGGGACGGTGACCTGACAAGAACATCCAATCCCCCCAATTAATCATTACGTACCAGAAGTCCAGCTCTCGCAAACAGGGGAAAAAGGTCGCATCGAGATACACAGAGAGCAGGTTCTGGAAATCCTTGGGGTTTTGTGTGGAAAATGGATACAGAGTATAGTCACTAGCTGGGCACAAAAGAAGAGAGGCATTTTAGATACAACAGAGATGACCACTCTCAAGCTGTCAATGTCCGCAGCAAGGGAGGCGGTGACCCTGCGCCCTGGACCCCGCCAGGCGGCTGGCCCTGCCTGCCCAGCCGCCGCCCTGAGCCCAGACGCCGCAGACCCAGCTCAGAGTCTGACCTGCCGGTACGGTGCGAACGCATCAGCCAACTCCCCTGCAGCCCGGGCCCCCCCAGAGTTCCCCATGCCGGAGAGCATGAACCTGCCCTTCAATTCCAGCCCACTGGGGAAGCCCCATCCACACCGCTGGCCTACTCGCTATCCTCAGACAAAACCTGAACATGCCAACAGCAATGAGCAGGCCCAATGCCCTCGCAACACTTCTGGCAGAAAATCGCTTCAAATCTTCCCGAGAAAAGGCAAGTGCCTTTTCCCTAAAACTTCAGTTTTTGCCATCTAGTCAGGACGTGCCTTTCCTAAAGCACTAAATTGCTAGTAACTCCCAGCTAGACTGGAGACTGGTACAAATGGATTGCGGCGCAGTCACTAATTGCCAGCTGCCCGGCTTCTCAGACACTGACTATCCAGGTACGTCTGGCAGACCCAACCGTGTGTCGGCCAGGAAGCCAGCCTTACCCGTGAAGGCGTTCATGAACGTGGACAAGGACCTGTTCAGCATCTTGAAGAAAGGGTCTCGGCAGGGGTACTTCTGAGACCCGCACAGAACCGTGTGCTCGAGCACGTGAGGAACGCCCGTGCTGTCCATGGGCGTGGTGCGGAACTGCACACTGTGGACGAGAAGAGCACACCAGAAGGAAAGAGGTGAGCGCGGCGCTGCCCCCCCGGGCTCCACACGTGGCGACCGCAGGCGTCAGAGCTGATCACGTCCACGTCACACTCTCGCAACAGAACATGTTCTAACCGCAATGTGTGAATCACGGATGCCGACCACAAGGTGCTAAGGTACTTAGTAGAACATACATCTGTGTAAGTTTTCCCTTATGTGTTCTGGATGCTGCAGTAACAAGAGGCTGGTAATGAGAATGACTTTCAATCACTTCATGGCAGATGTTCACGACCACATTCTCACACAACCACACACCTGAACAGGTTGTTGCTGTCCTCCCTGGCCAGGTGTAAGTACCTGGCCCCTGTGCCATCATGAGAGAGCTTCACTGCGGTCAGGAACAGCTCGGGGACAGGTGTCACCTGCAGTAAGAAGACATTTTTCTGAGCACTTACCATCAGGTAGGCATTATCTCAACATGGCACTTACAACCCTGGGAGATATTCTTATTCCCTTTCACAGAAGAAAAAGCTGAGGCTCACAGTGATGCAGTTAGCTGCCCAGAGAACACATAGCCAGGATTCAGCCTGGCGTCTGCGCCCTTTCCAGCATCTGCTGCACCTAAATACCACGGCTCCCTTTAAGTATCCGTTGTGTGTCTCCAGTCTCCACAAATGCCACCTCCTGTGGGGCTCAGAACAGCCCTGCAGGGAGGCAGATGCTGGGGTAGGCGCTTGCGACTACGGAAGGACATGCCGGGAACAGCCTTGGCTTCCTCTCGCCAAGGACACGTGCTTAGTACTGAGCCCGGGCACATGCCAGGGCCGCAAGTCAATGGGAGGGGCTGGGGGAACAAATGCCCTCGAATCCCATTCGCGGGGTGGGGACCAATGAGGAGTCATTTCAGTTTCTACAAAAACTGAAAAAGAAAGGAACAGAGCCTGCCTTTGTGAATAAGGCCCTTATTAACTGCAACCCGTGTTATGAATCCCAACTTCCAGTGCTGGGACCTTGCCTGGGACCTTGCCTGGGACCCCTGTGTCACCGCCCGTGCGCACGCCCTGCCTGGAGACTCTGCCACCGTCTCCATGAGCTCGTCCCTGTCCCACTGACCCTCATCCCACCCCCCACCTCAGGTCCTGTGTCCTTGGCACTTCTGCATGACATGACGCTCACCAGGCTGTGCCCGGTGTCATGGCTGCATGGTTCCTCATAGATTGTAAGCTGGTATCTTTGTATTTGTTATGGCATCAGGTGCAGCACAAAGCCAACAGCCAGACAAGGGTCTCGGGTGCTTATTTCTTAGTTATTACATTAAATAAAAAAGCAATGGGAAAGGAAACAGAACACTATTAATGAGAAACAGAAGACAAACGACTCCATGTTAATATTCACCTAAGGAAATAAAGCTCACAATTTCTTTTCTATGGGTGTGAAACCCAAATGGCTCAGAAAACCTCTGCACAGGTTTGGCACCAACCATTGGTGGGGAAGCCTGACTCAGCAGGGTGGACCCTGAGTCCTCACTGGTCACCCTCAGAGCGCATCGCTGGGTCAGGTGTATTCTCCTAAAACCCGAGACACCAGGCCTCCGGGGTTTTCAGGAAGGGAAGGGGGACCTGTCGCTCACAGGCCTGATTCAGCTACCCCAAGACGGGCGCTCAGCTGTCTGGGGCCACGAGGGTCAGACTCCAGGCTCAATCTCCCCCTCCAGAAGCCACAGGTGTCATGCCACTGAGTGAGGTGGTGCGTGCTGGACCAGCCGTACCTGGTTGACAGTGAATCCGTGGATCTTGTCCCCTATTTGGTAGCGCAGCGCCCTCTCGCAGGCTGGGCCGCTGCTCCCCCTGCATGCCTCGAGCTGTGCACTGCCGCACCTAGCAAAAGCCATCCAGTCAGGTGATGGGCAGGAGACCATCAGGCCGACGCCATTCAGCAACGCGATGCCATCTGATGAAGATTATTCACTGCAGAAAACTTAAATCTTGCACATTCCAGACACTCATTTTTAGTAAAGTTCTTTCCATTTAAACAGCCTTCTATCTCAACTCAGTTAAAGCTTCATAGTATCTAATGAAATATGGAAACTTTTTATTTGCACGTTTGCCGATAACTCTCATACGATTATGATACGGATTTCCCTTAAGAGCATAACAAACAACTCTCCAGTCAAATGGCTTCTCTCCATCACAGAAGCCTCACAGGCCTTCACAGTACTTCAAGAGACTCAAACTACGACAAGATTCACTACACGCCCACTACAATGAAAACGAGGAAGCCTCGTACTTCCAGGAACTCTCCCACACTGCTGCCAGGATGCAAACTGCAGCAACTTTGGCAAAGCTTTCAGCATTATTTAGACGCACTGAGGACTAGGAATTCCTCCGCTCTGTGCCGGTATCCTTCAGAGCTGGTACCAGAGCAGCAGCACATGGGTTCCAGAGTGGGGCACCAACCCAGAGGCCCCATCAGCAGACGGGCAACGATGGCTGATAAACTGGCCTTTCACTCAATGAAGTAAACTTAGCAATGAAAATGCGTGGACTACGACGACACACAACCAAGATGTGGGTCACATAATATTCCATCGAAACATATGAGGAACATTTAGGGCATTATCCAAACCTGGTATTACTCAAACAGGACTGCATTGCTGGAATTCACACAGAGGGTAGAATACAAAGAGAAGGACAGAGGCAACCTCTGTGTCAGCAGAGTGACTATTTAGGATGAGGGAGCCATCTTAAGCCTGGTCAGAGCGACGCTACTTATTCTTAATCATTACTCTCTCACACCCTAATGAGTGTTTTATGACATGTTCTACATTAACATTGTATCTCTCATAAATATTTCTATATGGAGGGGGAAAAAAAACACTGCTTCGGTCAATGGCAATATTAAGGAGCTATGCTATCACCAACCAACATTTCCTTCTAGATTTAGCAAATTCTAGAACTATGGGGCAGAGAAGAATTTTGAGAAGCTATTTATCACAAGAACACAGCACGGAGGAAAGCCCCGAGAGGCAACTAGGGCTTCCCCCTACTTTCTGGTGACCCGGCAGGAATATGACCACCGTCCCTGCTGCCTAACTCAAACACTCCCCGTGGGCACCTCAACAGCTGACACCCGTGTTTCCTCACCTGGGCTGACGGCAGCTCAACTGCACTATAAATGAAATGAGGTTTGGTGGATCTGCATGACAACGAAACATTTTTCGGTCACCATAAATCGAGTCATAAAAGTTACTGAACTCCCGGAGTGAAGCCTGGGTCTCTTAAGGACTCTCCACCCACAACAGCGGTGAAATGGGAGCAACCCTATTAAGAAGAACCACAAACTGCTGGCTCCGTTTATCACCCTGGTTAACATCCACCTTAATGACCACCCTCACTTCAAAAGGCCCCACAACCCACACACAGCCGGTTCTTCTGCGGTGAGCGGGAAGGGGTCAGGCACTCCTAGGCCTGGCCCCGGTAGCCCACCCCTTCAAAGCCCTGCGTCACCTGAGCCTCAGACAGGGACAGCAACTACGGAGGGGGTGGGGGGAGTGGAGTCATCCCCAGGGACTGACTGAAAGGACCACTTGCTGGGCCCTGCAGGGGCACTCTGGGCTCTGGGGTCTAGGGTGCGGGAGCTTCCCGATGGGGGTCAAGGGGTAAAGGAAGCGCTCAGACAGGGGTGTCAGGGTGCAGGAGCCCTCAGACAAGGGGTCGAACCATATAGGAGCCTAGACGAGGCGTCTGGGGTGAGGCAGGCCCCAACGAGGGTTCTTGGCATACAGGGCCCCAGATGAGGGATTTAGGAGTGACGGAGGCCCGAGACAAGAGACCTCGGCATACAGGAGCCTAGATGAGGGTTTTCGTGAAGAAGGAGAGCCCAGATGAGGCTGGGCATACAGAACCCCGAATGAGGGGTTTACGGGGCGGGGCGCCCCCAGGCAAGGAGTCCAGGCGTGCAGACCCCCGCCGAAGAGTGAGGGAGGTCCTCGTGAGGGATCTAGGCATACAGAACCCCAGATGAGGGATCCAAGAGCAGGAGAGCAAGCAGACGAGGGGTTTAGGCAGAGAGGCCCCAGGTGGGGAGGGAAGGAGCGCCCAGACCAGGGGTCTAGGCGGACGGGACCCTAGATGAAGGTTTAGGGATGAGGAGGACCCCGGATGAAGGGTCTAGGCTTACGAGACCCCAGAAGAGGGGTTCAGGAGGGGGAGAGCCCCCAGACCAGGGGTTTAGGCACCCAGACCCCAGACAGGGGGTGAGGGAGCGCCCAGACCAGGGCTGTAGGCGTCCAGGACCCCAGATGAGGGTTTAGGGACGAGGGAGACCCCGGGTGAAGGGTCTAGGCTTACGAGACCGCAGAAGAGGGGTTTAGGAGGGGGAGAGCCCCCAGACCTGGGCTGTAGGCGTCCAGGACCCCAGATGAGGGTTTAGGGACGAGGGAGACCCCGGGTGAAGGGTCTAGGCTTCCGAGACCGCAGACGAGAGCTGAGGGAACCCCCGACGGGGCGTTCCGGGGTGTCGGGCCCGAAAGCTCCAGACGAGGAGGTTGGGGGACAGGGCTCGGGATGCGGGAGCTCCCGCGACAGCGAGCGGTCACTCCGGGCGGGCGCGGGACGGAGGCGTCCCGGACGCCACGGCCCGCCTC